GGGGGGGTTATGTTTGCAGTCTTATTTTTGATTTAGGATTTTACTTACTCAGTGCTCCTACGAGTTGTTGAGTGCTATAGAAATAAAGTTTATTATTATTATTATTATTATTAAGCAAATTAAAGAGGCCACCTTGCACTCTGGGAAGATGTGAGCATTTTCACAAATATGGACTAAGCAACTAACCAATAAATTGAAAATAGCCAACCACTTTATCAACTATAAAATAATGATTATAACAGTGACCTTTGGTGACATTCTTGTGACTGCTTACAGTAAAGACCATCAGCTCGTGTTTCTGTGCTGTGTTATTAATGTGAACTAGTCAACTTAGTCAACCCATGATTAATCGCAAATTAATCGCACATTTTTTTCTTTATTCTTCTAAACGGTGGTGGGAAGTAACTAATTACATTTACTCAAGTACTGTACTTAAGTACAATTTTGAGGTATCTGTACTTCAGTATTTTCATTTTCTGTTACTTCATACTTTGTCTTCACCACATTTTAGAGGCATTTATTGTACTTTTTACTCCACTACATTTATAACTTTACATAATGAGTACTTACTTTACTTTTAGTAATTTCAGTATGTTTTGATGCTAATACTTTTGTACTTTGAAATAACATTTTTAGTGCAGGACCTTTCCTTGTAACAGAGTATTTTTGCGCTGTTGTATTGCTAGTTTTACTTATGTAAAGGATCTGAATACTTCGTCCAATACTGGTTCTAAATGTACCTTAAAGGAACCCTGAGGTAAATGTGATTACTGAGAGAAGCCCAGTAGTCTCAGATGGGTGTAGCCATGTTTGTCTGTCCCAACGCCTCTTCCACTTTAGCTTTCTCATATTCATACAAGTTGTGTATCTTGGTTACAGTGGTGGCTCTCAAAGGCAGTTCATAAGAGCAGTCTTTGAATGTGATGCAAATTATTTCAAACCAGACCCTCGTCCTCCACATTGTTAATCAGCCTGCAAGCTGTAGCCACCCATTAAGCTATCACTGTTGAAAGTTTGTTGCCTGTAAAGTTGTCTAGGCATCTCCACTGCAAACTGTCCAGCGTGGTCTGCCTTTGGCGAGGGGGAGAAAGGCTCTCTGCATCAGCTGTGTACTTGGCCAGCAAGTGGTATTTGAGACTTGAGGTACTCAGGTGGTAACTCAGTTCACATCAACGTGGTCTTGTCGAGAGAACTGGCAGGACTTTGATGCTGAACCTGCCATTCAAAAGACCCTTTTCTTTATCCATTTCTGCTCAAGGAGGTTTGTTTTTATTCGCCATCCACAACGTTCTGCTGCGTCGCGCTTCCTGATTTCCCAAACTACAGGGCAGAGGGTCATAATCACAGAATGTGCGTAATCGCGTGTCAAAAACAATTTGTGGTGTTAAAAGGAATTTGTGGTACCTTGTTATTATTACATTAACTTTGACAGGCCTACGTTGTATAGCAATGAAATCATTTCATTTGAATCAGTAATATGAGCCCCAGTATAACCACATTATGACACTGATGTGTTCAATGACAGTAATTTTAAGTGAAGATATACAGCATGCAGTATCAAATTGAAATCTCAAATCAAATTTTTTTCTTAAATTGCCAGGCTCAAAAACTCAAACTTATTAATGCCCTACACTCATATTAGATTGAACTCAAGCCAAAGCCTTTGTGAAATCAGAGCTCATTAAATGAGTTCACCTTATAATGAGTGGCCAGATCCATCAGGAGAGATAAAGCTCCCTCTCTGCACTGACTGAGATCCAGTTTGACTCACCCGCAGCGCTTCAGACCACATGTGAACAAGATATTTGCTTTGAAGCACCAACACACATATTTGAATCAGCGTGTCAGAGTGCCAAATATCCTAGGCTCTGAGTGACAGGGGATCCGCTTTAGAGTTGGCTACCTGTTGAGGAGGATTAAACAAAATACAGATGGTGTTTACATATTAAACAAACAAAGGCAGTCTCTGTTTTGATGGCAGCAAAAATGCTTTCATCAAGTGAGGTCGCCGTTAAAAGTCAAAAAACAAAAAGCAGATTTGATTGTGATTAGGTATAAATTCTATACCTTTTCACAAACCAGCACAATTCTGAGCAATACTTTTCATTGCTCCATCTGTTCCTACATTTGTCCCTGACTGCAAAAAGGAAGTCATGAATGATGTTTT